GGCTTGGCACCATGTAGGGTGGAGGAAGCATTGAGTTCGTTGAAATTTATCACAACGTGGCGACCTTCCGGTAATTCGAGACCATTACTAAATCTAAACACTGGTGACATTACTCGATGATCCAAATCGATATAAAGATCTTCAAGTCTCATTGACTCTCTTAAAAAGCTGTCCAATTTCTCCATCTTTGCCAATTCTTCCACGGTGACGCTTCGTTCTTTCCAATCATCACCTTCACTCCTACTCAAAACCGTCCGTTGTTCCTCGACCAATTCATCCCAGTATTCCGACCTCCCGGCATAATCAAACAGACAATCCATAGCACTTCGAGTAGTCGAGTGTATTCCTGCCCAGATAAGAAATATCATTTGGGAGACCATCCATTCATAATTTGGGTCTGCTTTGTTGTTCCGAGGGTGCTCGAGAAGATCTTGGAGCAAGTCATCGGGACGGGAGTATGATGAACCGAGGAAGGCTTCCTGTTCTAAGCGCTTGGCAACGATAGGGCGAATCTTTCGGATGAGGAGCGACTTGTGTTTTGTGGCGGGGTTCGAGCCAAACTTGAAGCGGAATCTGGAGGTAACAGAGGCAGAGTGATTAGGAAAAGTTGGGGGGTTGAATACAGTCATTGATTTCTTTCAAAACGTAGTAGTAATACGTACAAGATTTCGTTCATGTATAGTTTCGGATGTATAAACGTAAGCAATGCATTGGATAATGTGCTGTCCGTAATATCACGCGTAAATGTGCGGAAAGTGTTTACAACTTCATCGTCTTTTGCCAATTCCTAATTAAACGTTCACAAGTGTTTGTGTTATTTATGAAGCGATATGTCCTCCAACACTTTTCATTCCCCGATATCCTTTACAGTACATACCTCTCCAACGAAAATGTCCGCAATGGCTCTAGACATGCATTCGTGTACGAGTGGTAACATCTCATTTATGAGTTTAGGCTGTTTACAGTCTCCGATAAGCTTATTGCTTGCCTCCTGTAGTTGAGCGAAAACGCGATGTTGATAGACTTCCATTCGACCAGAGATGCATTTATTGACTAATTTGGAGCCAAGTTCTGCATAATCTGGGTCTTGCACTACATTTGTGATATGAGCGAGAGGAAGTTTCTGTGTGTGCGCGAGAAAAAAGGATTGCGTGGTGAGTGATACGTGTACATCACCATATTAACAATCATCATGTTGATTGTTTCATACCTCTTCCAATCCGTCTATGAAACTCATGTGAGCTGACTTGAATATTTCAGGAGAGTAGCGTTCTCCGACAACAGTGTGTAACGCTCCAAATATGTAGATAGTGAAGATTTCTCCATACTAATTCATGATTTATTCGCGGGTGATTAATTCGACGTTGTTATTTAAGAACAAGTATCTTTGATGATTTTGTAATTGATGTATACCTTTTCTCGACAACGTTTTAAGAGTCCTTCCGGATTATTCATGTACTCGATCGTGTGCCCAAAGAATGGGATTCTGTGTGGAACTACCGGCGGTTCATTCTATACACATGAAGAATTATTAGCTGGATTGCTCATTATGTTATGTGTCCCGATCTGATTGAAAAACGGTTTGTATTAATTTACCAGCTTTTTTCGTCTGAGTAGCAAATTCGCGCTGATTATTATAATGGCGAGTAAAAAACAGGGAACGATCAACGACATTTTGATAAATTTAGTATGTTACAAGAGTGTCTTGAGTTTTTTGATCTGTGTTTAGTATCATTCAGCCTTGATTAAGAGGTGGGTATTTATGGTTGAGCAGCATTTTATCGTTCCTACGATGACAATGGGACGTTCATTCTTTACATTGTTCGACTGTTCCTCAGCATTGTTCAAACATCACTTGATGTATTAGAATAATGGGAACAGGATTAGAATAATGGAAATCACTAACAATAGTCATACCAAAATGTAAAATCAAAACGCAGACAATGGAATGTGTACATAATACTAAGGTCAATATTAACGGTACACAACAAAAGGTATCCAACCAGAACCTCCGGATTTGTAACACAACACACTTGCGATTATGATTCCTTAGTATTGTTCTATAATCACCGCCCTTGTCCTCTAACATATGACATCATGAGATACTGAAGATAAGGCGAAAAATGAATTAATATTACAAATTCATTTGTTTAGTGGGATAATCGCAGAAGACGATTGGTTCATCCGGAACAAGCCGTAATTCGTCACCTGTTTCTTCTAGAAAGTAATAAAGTAATATAGTAATGGATAACAAAGAAAATAAAAAATAAAAGATAAAAAGCGGGGCTCATGCTCATCCCGTCAACGCTAGCCATATCCTACTTGTTCACATTATTTTGACCTTAATGACAATAGTTTATTATTTGTTATTGTCGTCAATACACACATTCTGTGTGACAGCATCACATGCTAATTGTCATAATCTCTTGAACAACCAGTAAAGCGAGATATACAACTTTGTATCGTAAATCCATCAGCTGTCAATAAAAGTGGACCATTTCAACCTAAAACCGTTGACGTTCATATACACATCAGGTGCAAGAATTAGGTGATAATAATGAACAAACTCAGATCGTTCAGACTATTTTTAGCGAATACCTTTAAATTGCAAATCTATCCATCGTGTGTTGACTTTCATGGGATACTCGAACCGCTAACTCTCTCACACACACAGGCACACACTTTCTATATTAAAATATATTTGTTTTGTCAATTATGAATTGCAGCATATATATACTGGTACTGTCAGTATCCCGTGACATGTTAGGTCAGCATTTTTAAGGCCTGACTTAGTTCTACAACATTCACATAACAGGAAGTGATATTCTATAATCACGTGCCAAAAACGGTAAGCTGCATTTAGTTTAGAACACGCATCAAATTGGCATAACAAACGAATACTCTTTTGGAATAGTTGCCCATGTTTTACCGTTGTAGGAGAGAATTTTATATATGATTGGTGCAAGTGTTATTGTGATGGATGAACAATCGATGCCTGTAGATTATTAGTTTCTGCCGGCATAAACTGCAATACACACAACATATTATCACGAGAATTCCCATCGCAAGTAAACTCTTTTCACAAAACTCAGTCCTACCTGATTCCAAATAAGGATCTAGCATCCATGCTACGTTGATTACGTCTAAAAACTACAAACAAGTGCGTCTACATAGAAGACTGTTTAATCGTCGCAATAATTTCCTTCTCTGACAGATCTACGAAATCGTGGGCATATAGCACGCTAAAAAAGATTACGCAATCGCTTCTTAATGTGACATCTGTCAATCGAAAAGAGTTGCAGATGGCCATCGTAACACAAAATATTTATTTATTCGATTGAAACCTGCTGGTGTCTATCTTGCGCCTTTATCGACATTTGTTCGGGAAACAATAACGACGGAAGTCTTCACTTTCCTTTCCCCCGTCTAAACTTTCTCATTGAAGTTTATCAACAAACATGTCGATGCCACTAGCCCCTCAAATCGCGCCTTTTGACTATCGACTTGTTCCCGGCTCTATTCGTAGAATACCAGAAAGCCGCGTTCGTAATTTTTTTTATTGATTTACCGAAAAGCCATGTTTGTTTATATCGTTTCTAATGAATGTTTGGGAAATCTATGAAATATCGTTCTATCTAACAGATGAAGCACTTTTTTGGAAAGATAATTCCATTGAAGTTCGCTTCGGTAAAGGATGCTTCGGCTACGTGTCGAGCTTTAGCTAAAGATTTCGGCTTTACTCTTAAACAAGAAACAAGCTCAAGCAAGGTTAGTTCCAACTCTACTTAATTTATGGAGAATCTTGTATGTATCGAAAGAACTTCACCCTGGCACAAATAATTGATACGGAGTAATTCGACTTTGTAACGATCCTAAATGAATTGTACTACAAATACCATTATATGTCTTCACTTTAATTAGAACATATACTTGTACTGCTCGCGTGAAGGCATCCCAGACTCGCGAAAGGGCAATAAACCCATAAAACGCAAACGTGCGTCCATTCGATGTGATTGCAAGTGGCGTATTATTTTATTTCAAAACGATGCTGATAAGCAATGGGAATTTCGCCAATCACAAAATCCGCAGCATTGCGAACACAATCACGAGCTAATACCACCAGAACTTATGCCCAGACCATGGCCAACCAGCATGCTGGAGCGTATCGCCTATTATGTCAATTTGGGCGTGCGTACTAATGAGATAAGGACTGCTATTCAGCGCGAGTTTCCTGACCAGCCATGGGATGAAAGACGTTTCTACAACAGGTTGTCCGATGAGAGGTCAGTCTTTTTTAATATCAAAAAGATTTTTTTGGTATTTCAAGCACGCGGATTTGGGTGAAGAGAGAAGCTTTGCTTTTGAAATGTTGGCAAGCTTCATTCTGCTATATACCGATTTATCGATTATACGCGGCGGAAAATTTTTTTTAATCTGCTTTTTCCAAAGTGGCTATGTTGTTTTTCACATGGGTTTTATTCAAATTTGACATCTGCATATTCATCGCCAATTAGAAAAAAAGCAAAAGCACGTGAAACTGAAAAGCGTGTCATTGCAACCATGTCAATGGCTGCACGTGTTGCCTCTGTAGCATGTTCGAGTAAAGAGTGCACAGACAAAGTCCTTGCGGTGTTACAACGCGTCTATTACGAAATATGTGATATCGCTAAAATAAACCCCGAATCAGCCGACAATGGGTTTGTTTCTTCACCATCGCCCAATGACTTTTCGGTTAATTATCCTAGTTGTGTCATCAACGTTAAGAATATACCGTCGCGTCCTGGAAAGAAGACTCAATCAACATCAGAATCGATCCCACAAAGCAAATCGATTGATAATCATAATTCGCATACTGACACGCTAATACAACAAGAGCAAGAGCACCGAGTTACCTCTGCACTTGAATATACGGCAAATACAGAGAAGTCTCCAACGTGTGAAGAAGCTAGAATTCAACGGCAACTGTTGGTTACAAAAATGGACGAATCCGTGTTTACAAATTATTCATCCACTATCGTTGATAAAGAATCTACTGTGAGTGATGCAAGTTCCTTTGGCAGTTGTAATGGCGTATTTCAGTTCGAACAATCTGTGAAAGAAACACATTCGAATGAATTGATTGTGAACGAAGATTCGGGGGTCCAATTGACGTCAATCGATAACCTGAATAAGATTGATCAGAATATGAAAGGTTTACGGTTTTTCGAGTCTCGGAATGTCGATTATACGAGCGAAGTCAAATCGAGTAGCGATGAAGTAGACAATGACGTTCGATTCGTTATTCCCTCAAATGCGGCTACTTCGGTCTCAAATGGAAGTCCACAGATGTCATTTGTTTCCTCAGGTTCGTGTCTTATCCAATTTATATTTGGATTACTCGTATCGTACTAATTTGAAAGAATATATTCAACATTACCTTTTTAGATCCGTACCATTGGGCGCTGTATCATCCTTCGATGCGCCAACGTATTCAGTCATCACGTTTATCATTTGCGTTCCCAGAACAACTTAATATTGCCACTTCAATGCAACGCCAATCGTCGCTAAATTATTCGCAGCAATACTCGCAGACGTGTTCGCCACAATCTATCCCACATATCCAGCATCATACATTGTCCTCAGACCAATTATCAGACCACGCGCAACAGTACCAGCAAACGCATTATAGCAATCTCCAACCGGTGTGGTATTCTTAAATAATTTATAAGTTAAAAGAAAGCTATGGGAGAGAATTTCCATATCACGGCTAAAAATTGGATCTGGAGTGTCTTCAATCGATATGCAAACCTATGCGAAGTATTTTCGTCATTTAATTATGACAGTTCTTTTGTATGACAGTTTTTTTGTATAAACTGACAACTAATTATGATATTTTAAGAGTCATTTTGCGTATAAACACAAATTAAAAAACCAAAATCACGTATAGAAGATTCAATAAATATATGCAGGTTAAAAAAGATTTTAAAAAGGACGTACAGAATACGGCTATAGATAGTCATTACTAATGATTATTTATCACTTAATTATATATAGGTTAATTTTTGGAGCAAAAAATTTTTCAAGGTCATCGTCTCGTTATTTAGTCATTAAGACAAAGTAAAAGAGATTTTGCCCGGTTCGGATGATGAAACAGGCAGAAAAGAAAAAGATAGCATATTGCATACTGTTATTATAAATTCACGTTTTGTCGCATTAAAATCATTAGGTTATCACATTCTGTTCTAAAAATGGCAAAGATCTCGTTCTATTAAAAGAGTAGTGCAGTGCATATAGAGTATTTAGACAACGAAAATTCGGTTTCTGTTACTCCCCCACACTTGTGGTATTTTATGCATATTTTAACGAACCTGCATATCGAACATCAAAAAAACGCCATTTCGTGTATCACAAATCGCGGAAAACATTATTTACCGGGTATTTGATCGGAATGTTTAATGCCAACTCCGCTGTAGGGAGAATTAACGCAGCTCATTTGACAAGAGTGTCCAACGTATATTTTAATGGCTTATACAAAACCCTCCCGCCAATGAATACATCATGCAAAGAAACAAGATGTGTTCGGAAGGAATAAATGGCTGTACATTGCTCGGACCTTGTCAGAAAGTTTGATTTTCAACTTGAATGGCGAAGAAAACAGTAACTTTAAAAGTCGTATCTCTCGTCTTGAGTACAAAATGGTATTCTCTACAAATGAAGACGCATACTGTAGTCTTATTATTGGTAAGCTACTAGTGTTCTCAATTGTATCTTTCGTATCGGATGTATTACGGTAAGAGCCAGGACGGGGAATTCTTCCAGAAATTCCGTGTTGAAAAGAATGTTAATTGAATGGTATTCAAAGGGTTGTTTAAAGTATATATGTGATATATTTTTTCATAAAACAGCATTACTGCCTTGAAGCGAAATTTTGTCTCTTATTATCCACTTTTCGTTTCTTTTAACCAATCGATAGGGATTTCCAGTTCTATGCAAACTTGCACAGTGTTATGCCGAGTAGATACGCGTCTTTTTCTATCGACTTAAATGTTTCAAAAGATTACTGTTCAACGGTAAATTTAGTTGATAAACAATAGCATGTTTTAAGTGACACATTACAAAGGCTGTGTGATGAACTTGTTATATTCCAATACAGTATACAGGATATATGCAGTATGTAGTAAAGTGTTGGATTAGACTTTTTTCAGAGATTCCACCACTGCAATCCGTTATAACTGTAACTTTGATTATTATTCTATATCTCTTATTAATTCTACTAAATTAATACTAAATTAATTAAAGTATTTATTTCTATAAATGCTTGCATTTGTTATTTTATTACACTATTAGGCTATAATTTGGGCACAATTCCGCCGTTTAGAAAACCTTTGACATAACCATTCGTTTACAGATTTAATGGATTAAAAAGCCAATTTCGTTTGAAGAAATCAAGGCTGACTCGCACATACAGTGCTGTTCAATAAATGTGCTTTAAAAAACCTTCCCTGTAAAATTTTAGCGATATCAGATATTTGCGCATTTATCAAATGTTTACTTCTGGTCATCAAAAATTCGTACCTTATGATAATTGGATATCGTGTGCACCAAACAACTGGGAAAATTTACATTGAGAACAAACTTTCCGGAAAAGAAAAAAGATTGAGACCCTGAGAAAGATGTGCGCGCATGTTGCCAAAATAACAAGGATTTTCCGACCATACGTCCGCACGTGGAGACGGGTCGGGTGAGCAATAATACACACGGAGTACTGGGGGGGGGGGGGGTTTGGAAAACTTGTTAAGACATCCGACCGAGCTGAATTCCAAAAATTCTGTCTCGGATTATTGATACGGTTGTTTGTTGAACAGTACTGTATATACAGTTTGTTGCAAGTAAAGTCTCTGGTAAGTCAAACGCTTTAAAGCTCGATTACTTTACCAGATAAGAAACCTACTTCTAAGTTTTCGGCAAGGATCCCAAGCATTGCTATCATTGTGCTTACGGCCAGATTTGAAAGGAATAATAAAGTTTTTCTTTCTGCTGATAAATGTTTGGCCTATAATCTCATTACATCGCTAATCTTACAATAAATCAGTTGAATTTCACAAAAAAACTAGAGGTCTGGTAAAAGCAACAGTTATGTTGTTCATAAGATGAATTAAAATGGTTCAACTTGGCCCTACCTCCTTTGTGTTCGAAAACATCAATATAAACATATATATGATCTATAAAGAATACAAAAGCTTTGATCTCAAGAACAAGACATGGTGCTTGCAAACGATACGTCGGTCGTCAGTCAATTTTTCTTTCTCAGAGGTTTGACGGCACACGCGCGCGCATTATAATTAGTCCCGATTTCGAAAACGTCGTTATCTAAAACACACATAAACTTAAAACTTGTATATTCCCTTTTCAAACAAGTCTATATATACAAGCAAAAACAATTTATCAAATTAACTGTAAAGTACTTTATAATTTTAACAACGATTTACAGAGTTTTAAGAGGGGATAAATAATGTGGAAGGAGTTATGCCTGTACAAACTTTATGGGGAAAATCGTGTGATGAAAGTTTTTGTGGAAACAAAAACAAACATTAAATTTCAAATTCTTATTAAATTTAAAGTTTATTTCTATTGCTTCAAAGACAACTATTAAATTTAACGATTCGATTAACGATTATTGATTATTAATAGACCATCAATGATAGCCTATTATCTAATGTGTGTTGACATGTGCTCTGGTTTTAAGACGTTCATCAAAAATCAAAACGTTGAACATAAACTTGTGTAGACAATCTCCCTTTGGCTTGTTCAACATCTGACAACCTGTCTGTGGGCAAGCTGAACACAAGATCATTATCGCATGATTACTATGCTCGACTACACTCTTCATTTCAAAAGTAGTGGAACATATCCAACATTAAGCGAACGAGTAAATTATGTGCATGGTCAGTGAAGCGGAGTTATCTCACAAATATGGTATTTGCACTCCGTTGGCAAAATTATAGTCTCAAACTAAGCATTAATTGATAATAATTATAATGGTAGCAACAACGAATGATATAAACACTTTTCTCCCCACCTCCCTCTTTTTCCGAGTTGACCATGCCATGCTATTTGCCTTTTAGAACACACAGACCAAATCATCAGGTCTCGGAATCACGACAGGTTTGATATTAATGGCATGTAACAGTTTGTCATATTGCTATGCATGAAATTGTTATAATTCGTCCATTATCGATCCGAACAAGAAAGACGACGCTTTGTTTTTTGATTAAACACCGCGCAACTTTGAAACATAGATTCGATACTTGACCAATTCTTGATTGCTAATACGAATGCGGGTGAATTTAAACTCTTAGCGGTAATGCTATTACTACGGAATAATGTGTGTGCTGTTTCATCGTATCATTCATTCATACATCATTGATCAGCTTGTATTACTTTTGTGTGACAGCGACATAAATAAAGATCGAGTACCAATGTCCAAGTTATTTGGTAATAAAACCAAATACGTCGATCAAGGTGTCTACAGACCAAAGCAGGGAAAATTCAGTTTGTTGTCTTTTAATTTGGCAGACAAGGACAATCAAAGTCCTGTTTAAAAACCTACTTCGTAGACATTTCGTCGCCGCAATTGTTTGCTCCCCCACTACTACAAATAAAAACCCCCCAACCATTAAGATTTATTCCTGTATATTTGTCACGCCAAACAATGCAAACATACTCTGTAGTGGTATTTTTACTATACAGCATCCTCTATCGATAAACAAATGAAAACCATATTTGGAACAGATATGCGGGAAGGGCGTTCAAATTAGGAAAACAGTCAATACTTCTAGAAGCTGTGCGACAAAACGCTCACACCTTCGTCTTCCTACATTCAAGGAAAATGAATTTTACTTATATAAAAAACCCTTTCCCCCTTCCCGCCCTCTCACCATCCCTAAACTTAACGTTCTATGATGTTTGCCTTGAAACCAACACTAATCACTCTTTACACCCTGCATACACTCTTTACCGTTGTATTTTCGGCAACCATAACTATTCGTGTTGGTGATGGGGGCAACCAGTTTGTACCAAACACTGTTTCGGTTCACTTGGGTGATGTTATTGAATGGATATGGAGTAATTCAACAAAAGGGCTCCATTCTGTCACTCAGGCAGACAAAGCAGACTCTTGTAGTCAATTGGCTGGTGGATGTAAGTTCGTTATGATAGCGTCCAATAAAATGACCGTTTCGAGAACAAGGAATAAGGAAAATAATGGGAATTTTGTTTATATAGTTAACTACGGTCCTTTCCCTGCTGGAGATTTATCCTCTAATCACACAGAGTCCCTGACAATCCACAACCAAACCTCGGGCAAGGTAACTATAACTTTAATTCTGAGAGACTGTGTGTGTGTGTGTGGGTGGGTATGCGCGTGTGTATGCGCGTGTGTCTGTGTGAGAATGAGCGAAAGAGAGACAGAGCGAGAGGTGTGCTGTAAATTATTAGCGGCGCAGACGAATTACGTTCAATTTCAAGTTACCAAGTTTACTAACCATATATTCACATATCACCCCACTCCTCACCTCACCCCACCTCACCCTACTCCACCCCTACTCCACCCCACCCCTATTTTGAATTCTTAGTTATTCTTCATCTGCAACGTAGATACACACTGCCAAAATGGCATGCAGGGTGTAATTAATATTATATCGAATACGACTACGACTACAACTACAACTACAACTATGGGCGGAATGACTAGCTCCACTATTATCTTAATTGCAGTGTTTGCCGGCGTTGGCATTTTATTCATCCCATGCGCGGTTTGCATCTATTGGAGATGCAAAGCCGTTAAGGAGCGGAAGGAGATCGACAAACTGAACTCTGCAAATAATAGTCAACAATCATCATCAAGTGGGGGACGAAGCAATGGGTCACGTACTAAGAAGCGCGATAACGGCCCGGCGATATTCTTCCTAAAGGGAGAAGCCACACAATAATAGGATGCGGGTTGGGGGAAGTAATGTCAAAAGTGTATATTCAGTTGTACTTATATATTTGTATGTATAATCTTTCGAGGAAGAATAATAAATTTCATGAACAATTTCCATCCTAGTTTTTGCATAAATGTAATATGTAATTATTGCAACATGCTTTAATTCATTCTCCGCAAGAACATTACAACATTATTGAAACACAAACTTTTTGCGTAATCGACTAATTACATGTCTTTTAACCAAAAAGAAAAATTGCTAAAAAAAAAGCTTACAAATGAAAAGACGTATTAACCATCAAAATTATCAGCAAAAGAAAGAAAATAAGAAGAAAAGTTCTACTATCTACAAAGTATTTTACATGATCGAATCAGTACAATATCTTTACATCTATCGGTCACGTTTTCGCCATAATCCATCAGAAGACAAATCTACTCCTACAACCACCCTCTCGTTAGCAGGAATATTAAGCTTTTTACATTTTCTAAGGATTGCTCTTTCTATGGTATTCTTATAGTATGCTTTACATTGCTCACTGGTTCTTGTCCTCACCGCCTTTGCGATTTCATCCCAATCATCACCACAACTAGAAAACGCCAAGTCGAAACGCTGCACTTCTTCCACTCGCCATTTCCCAGTACGCATAGCCAACGAAACATTGTTCGCAAAGTGTCTTCTCACTTCCTCTACTGTACGACTCGGAAGTAGCGGCGTTATCCTGCTCCAATCAGGTCCATACATCCGGTATGCTTCAACAAGAGTGATCAGCTCATCTGTGCTCCACTTTACACCTTTATGCTTGGGAGACCAGACGTATCTCCATTTCACTACACGTGCATCCTTTTTTAACTGTTTCGCGATCAGCTTCCAATTTTCACCCAATTCTCCCACCAACAGTTTGAGCAAATCATCTTCTTCTGGCGTCCAGTGATACTGTTTACAAGTGGTAATTTGATACCATCGATCTTCAAGGTCTGCCGGTGTACGATTCGGGAGACGAAGGGCAAGCTTTTCCCAATTACCTCTACCATGTCGAGCGCCTTCATTTATCAATCTGTCTTCGTCAGGCGACCATAGACCAACATTGTCGCTCGTTAGACGTCTGTATTTGCGTCGTATAACGGTCGCTGGTTTTCGTAAACCAAAGCAATGTTCGGCAATGAATTGCCAGTTTCTATCATAATTCTGTACCGCATTAATAAGTACGATAACATCTTTTTCAGACCAGCTTCCAACCTGGCCAGGGTCGTCGGCACATTTACCGCATGTAGGATGCGTCTCGACGTCACGCATCGATAGCGTCATTTCTTCTTCGCCAAAGCCATGTGCAACGTTATTTGTAAAATTGTTAAATCCCCAATTCATATCACCGTTGAGCGACGGAGACGAAACGACCACTTCAGGTAAAGTGTCAAATGTTTCTTCACAATTTCGTGGCGTTTCACATAGACAATCGCCGCTCACGGTGCTTGCTGATTCATAAGCGTCATCGGGTATATCTTTTGGGGAATCCATTAATATCCCATCCATAGAGTCCACGGACTCGTCCGTCGTTGCGTGTTGTGGATATTGCTCGAAATCATACCTGTATTCTGTGTTCAAGGGTAATTTTTGTGAAAGTCTGTTGGAGTATGGGGATGGCAAGAAATGAAAAAGATATTAACAAAGCATTCCAAATTAGAGCTTCCAGCACGCGCAGATGATTATTTGTTGCCATGAACGCGTCAACACAATAAAAAAAAATTCTATATACGTTTTCGACTCTAATATTCGCAAACAAAGAACAGACTTCAACTAACGTACAAGTAACCCCAATCCTCGTTTAGACTCATGCTTTCCCTTCGCAACTTTGCGACGACACTGTTGCGTTTCCGTAAAAGGCTAAGCCCGCCGACGTGTTTCTCTGTTCTATTTGTTTCTTGTAAACGTATGTTCCAATATTATACCAACCGCGCAAATGCTCTTGTGAATGAACAACTTGCTAGGGTGTTTAGCCAGTTTTAGCGCTTCGCCAATGTCCAATGCTAATGTTTGACGTTTATGTCGATTAATAACAATTACTGAGAAATATAAACAAAAGGCCGCCCGTGTGAAAAATGAATGATGCCTTTCAAACTCGTTTCTATTGATGAAATACTGGCTAGAAGATTAGCAATAGTAATAAAAAGGCCTTTCAAGTAACTGTCGTCTCTTTCGCAGAAACGCACGCTTTGCTGTTAGAGATTGTCAAGTGGATCATCCATCGCAAATAAAATTTCAATTCAATATATGTCAACACAATGGCACGACGTGTAACAGATCCATGGGCGGAAAGCTTTGTTCAGAACTCCGCATACTTGATACCAAACCACAGTGCCACTCGGAATCCAAATTCCAGAGGCTGGAAACCATTGGTTCTATTTTAGTTTAGCCACACGCATAAAAGGGAATTGGTGTAACTTTATATACTTGAAAAATTTCAAAGCGTTTGTTCCTTTCCAGTTGATTAATTGAAACGGAGAAAGGATATTATACATAATGAGTTCATTCAGGCGAATTGTACCACATACTCGCAAAGTTCCACGAGGCTCTCGACGGTCTCCATATAACGGACAACTGGTGGTATCAACGGGCGTTCCTTCTTTGGATGATATCCTGTTCTAGTAACATTATGATTTTCGGGGCAATATTACCATCATCGTCCTTAATATGCATTGCTTACATGTTCTTGGTGGTGGTCTTCCTATCGGTTCAGTTCTTCTCATAAAAGAAGACAAATTTACCGGTTACGCCAAGCTCTTGTTGAAATATTTTATCTCTCAAGGTATTGCAAGTGAAAACGAATTACTTGTTGTGGGTGATGGCGTAGAGAATATGTGCGATGGATTAATGTGGCTGAGCGAGGACAAGGATGGGGATGATAAGGAAAAGTCTACTTCAAAAGAAAATGAGGATGACCGAATGGCGATCGCTTGGAGATACAAAAAGTTGGGAAAGTTCGAGTCGGGAATACCGACAGGAAGAGGTAAAACGACATGATCGTTTATCGCAAAGAGACAATGATGCAACGATTGTTGATTCCTCACTATATGTGTCATAGGCATTCCATCGATGACTTTATCAAAGCAACTTTCGAAAACAGACGCTTCTCGACCTTTTTGTAATACTTTTGACCTGACAAGGACAATTCCAGAAGCGATTGTACGAGACGCATCCCTATCTTTGCTAGACATTAACGATATTATTAAAGGTAGCGGTGACACAAGATTGTATGACCAAATTCTTCAGAAAATAAGAACAATGGTGAAAGAGAAGGGCTTAAGGTATTACACGATTGTCCCCATTTGTTTTTTTCGAATGATGTTGATGTTGACATGAGAACATTTTCAGCAATGTAGAGGCATCTAATGCTCGCGAACAAGTTAATACACTTCGGATTGGTATTGAATCAATTGATTCTCCAGGATGGCCGCCACAACGTCCAGGTGTACGTAAATGCGGGTAGCAAGTCGACCCCCTCGTTCGAATGAAGCGACGTGTTAACCTTTACTTTATTCAGGAAGTTTTTAAATTCTTCCATGCTCTGCGCGGACTCTTACGCTCATCAAATGCAGCTGCCGTCATAACAATATCCGCTCATTTATATTCTGACGACTCTCAAGATGTTGTCAGGCGAATTGAGCACATGTCTGATGCTGTAATAGAGTTGGATTCATTTGCTGGTATGTATGGAGAAGTTGTTTGTTTGTTAACTGCTCGCTTTATCATTTATATCTAAACGCTTTATCTGTCAACAATGCAGCAAGGCCGGAAACTGCTGATACGCCATATTGTCAGGATTATCATGGTCTTTTTTATGTCCATAAACTACCGGTGATAAATTCTCTTCTTTCACCGTCGACAAAACTATCAATACTCTTGGGGAGTGGGCATAGTAATTTGGGATTCAAGCTAAGGCGAAAGAAGTTTTCGATTGAGACATTCCATCTTCCGCCAGAAGGAGGCGTTAGTGAAAGAAGGACTGGACCGGATAAGCAGAAGGGGACTGGGGAGACGGAATCAAAAATTGCAGGCAAAGTTACCAGTGTCGGTTGTGGCTCACTGCCTGGAAAGACGGATTTATACGAGTTTTAGTTGAGAATATTTGATTGCTAATTGGCATAACTTGATGTAACCATTTTAGGTTGGAATATGTGAGTAATTCAGTAGTTTGTGATGAGGTAATTCGATATCGTGTATGAGAGTTAACTCATACAACTTGGTTTATTACCCGTTAGTCCAAATTTGACAAAGATTATCGCATATCGTTTCCAAATATAATAAAATTCCCGAGTCAACGTGACACTTTCAACGTTTAAGCAATTTTTAAATATACAGTTTAATGAAAACTTTAATTGACCTGGCCACCGAGAAAAGGCAATCAGTCTCGTTCAAAGTTATAGCGCTCGTTATATTATATTACATTCTGTTATCATAGACACTGTGCATGGGAATTATCGAGCGAGCGTGGGATAATTATTCGGAATAACATAAAGAAGATCCTATCTTGCTTTGGAAAAGATGCGGCTTGATGAGTAACTTTATTGATAGCCAAAAAAATAGGGATGCATGAAGTCCTACTATTCTTGTGTTCCTGAATAATAGAAATAGGAAATGAACTGCCACAAGCCGAGTCGAATATTGGGCGTAAAGAAACACTCTTGTGTTATTTTAATAAAATTATCACCAGACACGTTGTCTGGGTTACTAAATCGTTGAACAATCCATCAAATGCATACTATTATTACTATTATTGTATTTTAAGGGGGTCTGATTACTGAATGCTTTCTGATGTTACAGCATTCAACTTGGCTATCGTTCGTTTCTAAAAATAATATCGGTGTCTTACGATTGCATGAAGAACTTGATTCGCATAGGTTACAAGTAATCACGAGATTAAGATGCAAGGCAATCCTTATTTTGGAACATTTATGTATCCTTTATAGTCAATTAGTCCGACACTTTATACACTAGTACAAATTAAGTTTATTTGTGTTAGTTATGATTGGCAACATATTGTGCAACCATAAAATATGCTTTTGTTCAGCAAAACGACAGATTGTTGCACACACAGTACGCTCAGGTGACTTTTAAATGAATGGTCAAAAATTGAGACATGTATTAGATAATAAAGAAAGTAAAGATTCTATTAGACTCTACAACAAAACGAATGGTTAAAGTAACAGGTAAATAGTCTTTGTCGTTTATGGACATTGCGTTCGATATAAGCGAAACCTGATCACATCGAAAAGAATTAGGTAATTAGAGTGACGATTAATTAAGCAGCAAATTAAAACACACTTTGAGAAATCTCATAAGAACCATTTAGTTAAATACTATGCAATAAGACCTTTGAAACTCCTCGGATGAGTTCAAAACAAACACTCATTTGATAATTATAATCCAAAACATATAAATATATTCATACACATACAGAGAATTCATTAAATTCACTATTACTATTACAATGTTTATGTCTAATGCCATGGATCCCGGTTGCATCAACGTAAAACTCTCCATAAGACATTGGCACGTGAGGAGCCAGCTGAACCGAAACTGTTCTTTTCCTGTTTCGACCACAACCAATGCGTGCCAATAAAATCCTCATATTTACAGAGCTTTTCCACACGAGCCCCAATGCAGGAATTTTCCCGGTAACTCTCTGGTAACGACGGTAGTCATAATCACACGTTCCGACATACTGTCCGCCAACTTTTTGTCTCTCCTCCCCATCTCCATATGCATCTTCTCTGTTCTCATTTTGAATATCAACATCTATCCCTTCTCTTGGATTCTCATCTTTCCAATCGTCCTCGTCTTTTATAGAATCAGACACCTGGTTAACGCAAACAATTGCGACTCGAAATCTATCACTCAACTCTTTCAATTTAGCTCCTAATTCACATATGTTTCTTGCTCTCTCCTGCCAGCTGATACCCATCAAACTTTCATCACTACGAAAATTTGCGGCGATCGAATCAATTACTACAAGTCGTATGTTAAATCTAGATAATAACACTGGGAGTTGATAATGTATTATATGATACTGGGAAGAAAGATCCAGGACACGGGCGACATGTACGTTGGATCCGAGATCGAGGTCAGATAGAAATGGATGCGTATGATGGAATGAAGATGAGAGTTGATAAAATCGAGTTATGGGAAATGGGTTATCAGCTGCGAGGTAGACTGCACCTACAATAAAGTAAACAAACCGGTTAGTTAATCATAGCTGACACTCAGTGTAGTTAAACTTGATATTGATATCATTACGGACCTCCGTTAAGCCCGCCGTATTCTGGTGGTAGCTGGACCGTCATACATAGCTGAAGACATAACTGAGTCTTACCAGCAGAACTGCCGTCGAATTAATAAAAAAAAGTTCTCTACTATGCATGTTTCAGCTCCACTAACCGTGAGAGTCAAATAAACTACTGTTTACCTCTCACCTACAATCTCAGTGATGCCTTGACATAGTATTCCGCCACCGAGTATATCGTCAAGCACAGAGTCACCCGTTGTTAACAAGATGTGTCTATTAGCCTCGAGTAGTTGCAGAGCTGTTGTCGGTCGTAGCCGTGTTTTGTATACTTCTTCGGACACACTTTTCAATAGCTCCTGAGTATCATTCTCGGATAATTTCAGTATATTTGAAAGATCACTTGGCGGGTAACGACACACATCCGCAAAGGTTTCAAACGCTGCTAATGTTTGCGAAAGCAAAGTACCTATAAGCCAGATGTTAAGTATTTTGTAGTTAAGCGCGTGTCTACATACATTTTTTTATTGCTTCTTCTATTCTTGGGCGCAATATCAAACTAGCAAGTTCATCCATTGTAGTAAAAACGCGCGTTTAATGACACGACGCTAAATGTAGGTTGTGTACAAGTCACGCGATATCTTGTCGCGTAGATAAAGTTTGCAGAGTGCATGGAGGGTAAGAACGACGATTCGTGATCCAAAACATTTATTTCTATGGGTAAGAATTTTTGCATATATTAATTAATTTAAATTACATCACTACTACATCTGAAGAAATTCGTTTATTATCACCAGTTTTAATGTAGTATTCTAAAACAAATTTCGCGTTAATTTAAAGCATACGGGAATGAATTGTTATAGTTAGTGTATGTACAAGTGAAACTCGATATAAGAAGCTCTTGATATAAGAAACACTAATTAAAATTTGATATAAGAAAGTTGAGCTGAAAAACAGTCTATATAAAATCATCTCTATATAAGAAAGTTACTAATAAACTCTCGGTATAAGAATGATCCTAAGATTTTTTACTATGGATCCCGATCACTTTCTTATATCGAGAGCCACTTGTATATGGCATATAATTCCAAATCTTACATAACGTTTCCTTTCTTGTTCGAATACAAGAGTCATAGATTTAGACTACAGTTCATAATATACGCTTATTTGAAAATAAATTAATTCTCACCCAACCACTCAGTCAGCTTTTCCTTCAATTGTTTTATCTTGAGTGGTTTGGTTAAATAGTCATTCATACCAGCATCTAGACATTGTTCGCGTGTCCCTGTTATTGCACATGCAGTCAAGGCCACAATTGGAAGCGTCTGAAATTCCGGATTTAACGACCTAATTGCTCGTGTTGCGTCAAACCCTGACATTACAGGCTAAACGTTAAAGACGAGATTAATATCTCTTTGATCGTTATCATTAATAATGTCAAACCATATACCCATCAATGTCCTTACCATAGCACAATCCATCAACACCAATGATATCCCCAGTTTGGACTCTAACGACTGACTGCTATCCGTGTTACCGATTTGACTGTTCTCATACTGCCTCTGTACCAATTCAACGGCTTCTTTTCCGTTTTCTGCTGTTAAATAGCGATAACCTAATCTATCCAGCTGAGTTTTGACAATCTAGGGAATAAATAATAATCAGATTAATCCATGAACATTCATATTGACCAGCAGGAATCATTAGCAACATACTTTTTGGTTAATCGCATTATCATCCTAATAATATTATAAACAATGGGTATAAACTTGTTAGCTAACCAATACATTGATGCCGAAAGTCAATAGCACAAATGACAAATACATTACCACGCAGAGAATACATTTGGGTAAACTTTCAATTCTGCTCGATTTGCTTGCTCTTTCTTCATTACCGGATTGATCCTTCAATTCGCTAGATGCGGATCTCTTCGTTGGAACAAGCCGTGTGTTGGCAATTTTTGAGGATGCCATAACACCCCGAACTATGACTGGTTCGCTTGTATCTCTTTTCGTCGGATAACAGACTGCAGGTCGATTATGATTGTAGAATTTACTGTATGTCGATAAACTATTTTTCTCCTCCTTGTTATCCTTATCTCCAGGCTTAACCAAAAACGCGTCGAAATTAGATATACAATCCGTCACACACTTGTGCATCACCGGCTTGCAGATAGCTGCAACATTTGTTCCTATTTTCTCGATCATACTCTTTCCAAGCGCGTAACCTCCGAGCGACCAAAACACCATCAGTACAATTGATAACTCGTTTCCACAGATATGCTTAAGCTCTTTGGCTGTATCCTCAACTTGTGCAGCATTACTGTTACTCACGCTCAAAAATGCCAAATCACATAGAGGCTCGTTATGTTTCTTTTTGTGCTCTTTGGCTGCTTCTAGCGCACTCGCATAGTCTGCGTACGTATATACTTTTTCAACGCTTCCCTTGATCAACGTCGCGTACGCTGATCTTGCTGCCTCCAGAGGATCAATTATGAGAACGTTTCTAACCCGGTTCGGTTGACCTTGCAAATTGGGATTGTCATTTCGAGATAGTAGCTTGGGTATTGACGGTAAGGATATGTTTCCAATATTCCATGTAAACCAGAATTTACTGCCTGCGCCAACTTTACTTTCAAGCATCATTTCACCACCGTTTAGTTCAACTAGGCTTTTGCATAGAGAGAGACCTAGACCAGTTCCATCTCGGCCGCGAGTCATCGAAGCGTCTCCTTGCGAAAAGTTCTCCCAAATGTGATGAATCGACGCTGGGTCAATGCTAAAATTAATTGGACTGTGAGATACAATACTGTATATATATAACATGTAATTGTAAAAAAGTGAGAGAAAAGTAATATCTTACCCAACACCAGTATCCGATATTTCCACACACAAAAGTTTGTTCGAGTCAGGATTATCATCTATTGCCATGTCTTCGCCGTTTCTTATTGATAACTTTATTACAATTTCACCACTATCCGTGAATTTGATTCTATAAATTTAATAATTGTTACAAAACGTATCCACCAAAGCTAATTACGACAGTGCAAAAAAAAAAGTGACATTCTTACGCGTTAGATAACAAATTCATTATAACTTGTTGCAGCCGCTCTGGATCAGTCTTTACATATCTCGAAAGAGTCTCTGGGTCATATAAAACGATCAATTCAAGCTCCTTCGCGCCAACACGCTCGCCAAACATTGTCACGGTCCTTTCTACGAGTGCCCATAAGTCAAAGACGCGGTTTACCAATGTGAGCTTGCGCGCATCCAATTTGGCTGCGTCTAGGATATCATTTACTACGGATATAACCACATCGGATGCGCGGGACATTACTTCAACCATATCTTTTTGGTCATGTGTAAGCTGAGTTACTTCAAAAGCAGAAAGCGCTCCAGTAATTGCTCCCAACAAGTTGCGAAGTTCTGTTGATTATAAAAAGTTCTATCATTAGTATTAATGTTATTCCTGTGGCGACTGGCACAGCTAACAAGACTTGTGGGTTACCGTGAGATGTGTTGGCTAATATTTGACCCTTAGCTCTATTAGTCTCTTCGATAGCCTTTACTTGTGCCTCTCGTTTTAATTTTTCTTCGACAAGGGTAGCATGGCTAATGGCCAAACTTATTTGATTTGAGATTTGTTGCAGAAAACTTGTCTCAGACTCTGTCCATTTATGACATTGTTGTCGGTAAGCGATTATCCAACCCCACGGCGATGATTTCAAATGAATGATTGCGCTAAGAAAGGACACGCGTTGATTTAAAACTTGTGATTCACAGTCTGAACAAGCTTTTATATCACTTAGCAATGAATCCGGTGCTATGTGGCCATCACAATGATGAAAAGGAGACTCTGTTTGTTGCTGCTCATCGCGGAATATGCACCCAACAATCTTCTCTGCTTTATCCGTTGGAAGCAGTGAAGCAGCCATAACTTTACCGCTAATACTCTCTTTCTCGGAAATATTCTGTATTATTAATAAATGCTCACATGCTAAAACCTTCTTTATTTCAGAGACCGCCTTGTCAAGAGTTTCTTGTATTCCAAAACCAGAACGAATTTTGTTGCTGATCGTAAATAGTAACTGCTTAATTTCAAGCTGATGCTGTTGTTCTGCCATCAATTGACGGCGGACATGAGAAAGTTTGAGATTCACGTGAATACGAGCCATAAGTTCACGAGCGTTGAACGGCTTAATGATATAATCATCTGCACCCTTTTCCAATCCTACAGATACAAAAGTCTGAGAAACACGTTCGACTAGAGAACTTTACGCACAAATGACTTACCTTCAATGCTAGCTTCTCCCGAACGAGCTGATACTAGTATCACGGGGATCGCCTGTGTTGCTGGATTGCCACGCAGTGCTTTCAGTAGTTCAAAGCCGTTCATGTTAGGCATCATAACATCTATTATTGAACAAAGAGGGGCTCTTAAAAAACATCCTGTAATCGCATTCAGCTATTCACCAGAGTAAATTAATAGGAATCTCACCACTAAGAATAAGATCGGGTAACCGTGATGAATTGTTTACGATCTTGAGCGCTTCAAAGCCATCATCAGCGCAAATGCAATCAAATTGCTTCTCGATCAAAGTTTTCAAATAGTTTCTAATAATATATTACCACCAATGTTTATACCACAATCTTTGATAAAATAAAAACGAATTCATGTGCACATACCTCATATCATTATTATCATCGACGACTAGAATATATTTCCTTGTACTCTCAAATTCAACGTAACTAGGTTCCCTATGCAATGCTGACCACCCTGGTGATGATGTAGAAGACAAACTTTCATCATCGGTCTGCATCGGGCTGTGTTGATCATCTTCCTTGGGCGATTGATCACCTCCCTGGGACGATTGATCATCTCCCTTGGCCGATCGATCATCTCCCTTGGCCAGTTGACTAGACTCTGATTGCTGTACACGTTGCATGCGCTCATACAAGTACAAGTTTATATTCGAATTAATTTGGTTTTCATATTCTGCACCAGCTGTAGATTGATCTCTGCTTCTAAAGTAGACTTGTTGCTGGGGAAGGTGATCATATCCAGAAGGAATCCAAACACGAAAGATAGTGCCAACGTTCACTTGGGATTTAACAGAGATTTCACCATCGTGTCGTTCGACGAGTTCTTTAACGAGAGCAAGACCAATCCCAGTACCTTCGTGGTCATGTGAACGTTGCGACTCGACGCGGTAAAAACGCTGGAAGATATTCGAGAGATGTTCTTCCGCGATACCAATACCTAAGATGTCGGGACCGTCATTATTTGCTTGGAATAAAAATTGACATTTCTGAAATGATATAATAATGCTTGACAGTACCTGTATCAGATACTTCAAGGGCTATCCCTTCCCTATCTCCGTTTCTCTCTGCGAACAATCGAACAGTTACCCCACCGGTCATTGTATGTTTAAACGCATTCGAACCTAAAAAAGACCAGTTCGGTGAGGAAAATAACATAAAATGCATCATATCAGTCTTACTCGATTCATATATCACTTACATAGATTAAATAGTATCTTTTCATACATTTCTTGATCTAAAAAAATTTTCTGATTCAATTGACTGACGAGATCCTCATCATCAGGAATATCGAGCTTATAATATAGGCCAAGCGCTTTAGCCATGCTTTCGAAACAGGCTGCCAATTCTAGTGTTAACTTTGCAATTTGCGTTTCGCAAAACCATGCGTGAAGTCGGCTTGCTTCTATGTGAGCGAACTGATCCAGAACAAATGTTAAACATCTATGATCAAGAACGCATTATAGCATACGCATATCTATTATTTACCTGAAACAAGTTGTTCACCAACTTAAGTAATCTTCCGTTGCTGTTCTGAATTAATTTGAGTTTGCTTAACATTGGAGATTGCGCATGACATAACTCTATTGCTTCTTCCAAAGGTGAAAGCATAAGAGTCAAGGGACCTACGTAATAATTTTAAGTTGCAATAATTTGGTATCACATATTCCTGTAAAGAAAAAGTATACACATGTAGACATACTTCGCAATTCATGACTGACATTTTCGAAAAAGGCAATTCTTTGTCTATCCAGTTCGGCCAGCCTATCTTTTTGTTTTCGCTGTTCTTCTCGCAATCGAGCCTTTGTAAAGACGGAACTCACATTGCTAACGACGAGCTATATCAAATAGAAGAAAAAATTTAATAAAAGGAAAAAAAACATGCACAACACTTGTAAACATATAATAATCATACACGGAGAAATTTTTTGTATTCTTCATCGAGTGCTTTATATGGATTGATGCCACATATCATTACGGCTGTCAATTTGTCTTTTCCACCAATTATCGAAGTCACTGGATATAACACAGCTAGTGAATCATCAGGCAACCGTACAATTATCTCGTCGCCACTGTATATTACGCGTTCTACTGGCCATGGGGAAGCACTGGTTGAATATGTATCCAAACGGGCAATATCTTCTTCAGAATTAGGCATGACTATTACATCAGGCGTCTTTAACAAATGGTCAGGTACATCTCTGCTGGATTGTCCGGGTATGTACATATATTCTTCATGCCCATCAGTTCTTTTGACGCGTACTAGACCATTATCGAATGTTGTGGCTTGTAAAAATGCTCCTTTTGGTTTGTTTTTGAATCCATCTTCTTGGTTCTCCACAAGATAAAATATAGCATATGGTATATCGGCATTATTATTTCGGATAATATCAGCAAGGAAATGACAAGCATTTTCAACAGATGTCACCCCTGCGTATGGTTGCATAACGCGTAAATGTAAGATTATTATCGATGATGTGAATGAACAATATACGCCATAATAGAGTCTACTCAATAGTTGCCTTGCGTTCCATTAGCCAGATCCCTGAACATTTTCAGTCTTCTATTTGTGAGCACTTTTTCCGTCGTTTCCGTCGCCAACGAAATCAATCCTCCTATTTCTCCCGTGTCAGTATATATTGGGCTGAGAGTCCAAGTAAAGTATGCTTCTTCTTTGTAACCCGATCGAATAACATAGGGACAGAAATCTTCAATGTATTTGCCTTCTCCTCTAAGAGCTCTTCAATGCAAGTAACAAGTCAGGAACCATCAGGTATGGAAGTAGTAGTTAATTGATGATATACGATCATACATACGCATTAAACAATGGTACTAAAAAATCGCGTGCTTCAGGATATGTTAGGGTCGCCGACGTCCCTATGCCTACAATTGTTTTGTTACTACATGTAGCGTAAGGGCAAATACATGTAATACCATTTATACTTACAAGGATGATTAGCCTGGATGAGTGGTACCCACACTAATATTAATCGTTAATGTAGAAACAGATGAATAATCAGATATATAGCAAAGCAGTCTATATTTAATATACTTACTTTGATTATATATAAAAATTCTATCTTCTCCAATGTACAAAACCATGGGATACGCGGTATTCAGACACAAATTCTAGACATTATTGAATACAAAAGAATGTTTAGCTCTCTTTCTCCATTTACGCATTATGATTAATTCGCTATTAGTTTACTCACGGTTACGAATTTCAACCAGCGAGGCCAACTGTCCATAGGCCCCAATGGAGTAGACGCCCAATCGAAGTTATGTACTAACTCGGCTACATCATCAACAGTTTCGTTTGAATTAGTGGCTAAGGTAGTTGTGGAGTTCGACATTAGGCTTAATCCTTCAGAGTTTCAGTTTGGCTATGCATTGAACGAGTGAGAGAGTGTCAGAAGCAAAGCGAGTAAATCTATAACAATGAAGTACTAGTAACATCGTGGGTTTTTTTTTTATAAATGCAATGATTTGTTTGTACGTGCAAATGACGAGATTTCCAGCCTGGACCGGGCTAGGCGGATCGTTTATGCACCAAGTTTCACTGGTTGTGGGGGGCAAGTGAACACAAGAATATGCGCGAATTATTATAACTGCGTTACTCTGAATAACGTAAGTTTCGTGAAACAGCAGTTAAATTTTTGATCAAGCTAAACTAAGTATTATAAAATATTCCATTCAAACTTTATAAAATTTAACGTCGCATGTCAGATTCTTTGACAATAACTAGTGTTTAGAAAGTAGATAATTGTTTAATAATAATCAATCGACATAATAACGGCTAATAGAAAGTATGTATTAATAATATGAATTACATACTGTACACAATAGATGACATAAGCTAATGGTGTACCGAAATTGGATGGGCATCAAGTTCTTTATAAAATCAATATGTAGTACCAAAGATTTTCAACAACTGTAAACGTTACGTATGTAAAGCCAAGATGGATTAGCGTCGTTTTTTTTATTCGCAATGTTTTTTGCGTGATTTGATCTAATTTTTAGTTTTTTTTATGTTGCAAGTATCCGTTTCATGTCTCTGACATACTGATACAGATACCTCTAAACGTAGCGAGTTTTTTAAACCTTAACCCCAAACCTCAAACCCCCAAACCCAATTGTTCAACACATTCAAGTAAGAATAGCCCAGAGAGTACCGAGAGAGGCTAGACAGGTACATGTGACAATGATAAAGTAATCTAGTAACTTTTGTCGGAACGACAGCTCCCACCCAAACAACTTGAGATGACAAATGCAAGGAAATATTGCGGAAATCGAATATGAAAAGAAAGATCCTAAAATTCCCATAACCTTATCAAACCCGGGGAATTGGATTGCCAAACAAACGACGAGTGTAGATATCAATAAACGAGTTGCAATTGTGAGAGCCGTTCTGCGACCACGTCCCGAGTTATACCATTCGCCAACCGCCGGAATGGAAGAATAATATATTTCCAAAGTTAGATTGATTGGGTTGAGCGTAAGAGCGTATTTAGCCAATGGATTGATGGCAATCATCCAGACGACGATTTGGTTAAGGAATTTGTTGTAACCAGGAGTTGCCATGATGTTTTGAATAATCTAAATAATTTCATTTTGAACATGTTGGTACACAAGTCTGATCATGTAATAAAACAAATTCAAGCATTCATCCCGCCTACCTCTTCTTTGGTTTCTCTGCCAAACATTAAATAACCGCAACATGCCATTATCAAATAAATGCTAGCAGTCATTGCATAAGTAATGTTCACCATCTTTGGATATTGTTTAGGTTCCTTCATATCTCTATAGATTGTTGGAAATACAGCATGACCTAATTCAACGCGAAAAGCAGATAAGTGGCTGT